AGGAACCAGGCGGCCCCCAAGAAGCCCCCAAAAAGCCCCAAGAGGCCCCCAAGGCCCCCAAGAGGCCCCCAAGAGGCTCCCAAGAGGCCCCTAGACCGTCCCCTAGAAGCCCCCGAAAGCGCTTCGAAGAGACCTCAAAAAAGCATCCATGTGGACTCTGACACACGCCAGCGTCGTCGTCGTCGCCGCCGCCGCCGTTGTCGTCGTTCCTTACGGTGGAAACCGAACATGTGCTCTTTAATTAGGGACGAACCAGAGCAACGAACCACGATTTCAACACCGATTCAGTCACGCGCGAACCAAGCTCCAAACCACGCGCGAACCACGCTCCAACCACGCGCGAACTGAACCACGCGCAAACCACACGCGAACTACGCTCGAACCGCGCGCGAACCGCGCGCGAACCACGCGCGAGCCACGCGGGAACCACGCGGGAACCACACGCGAACCACGCGCGAACCACGCGCGCCGGACCACGCGCGCCGAACCACGCGCGAATCACGCGCGAACCACGCGCGAACCACACTCCGAACCACGTTCGAGCCACGCGCGAATCACGCCCGAACCACGCGCGAACCACGGGCGTGGTTCGGTCGTGGTCTGAGGCGTGGTTCGGGCGTGGTTCGGGCGCGGTTCGGGCGTGCTTTGGGTGGATCGGAGCGTGGTTCGCGCGTGGTTCGAGCGTGGTTCGCGCGTGGTTCGGAGCGTGGTTCGAGCGTGGTTCGCGCGTGGTTCGGAGCGTGGTTCGAGCGTGGTTCGCGCGTGGTTCGGCGCGTGGTTCGCGCGTGGTTCGCGCGTGGTTCGAGCGTGGTTCGCAAGCCCCGAAACAGCCAACAAAAAAACAGCGGGAACAGCTCTCAAAGACGAGGACCAATAACTTGTCTTGTGGCCACTCTGAGTCGTTCCCCTTCAGGGTCGGCGGCACTGGCCGTAAGGCCTTCGCAATGCAATTGCAATGCGATTGCACTGCGATTGCACCGCGATTGCAATGCGACTGCACTGCGATTGTAATGCGATTGCACTGCGATTGCAATGCAAAGCAGCGCAAACTTATGTAAAGCAATTCGACACACTGCCGAGCATTGCAAAACATTGCAAAACATTGCCAAACGATGCAATCCAACTCCGTCGGCGACAACGGGCGGCGACTAGCCGGCCGGACCGCCACTGGGACTCAATTACCAACGGCGACGGCGGCGGCGACGCGAGGCGACGGGCGGCGACGAGCCGGCCAGACCGCCACAGGTGCTCAATTACTTCAGAATGTAAGCAAGAACCCGTAATCAGCCACCGTGTCCTCAGGTCCCTGAGGATTTTGTGTTGGCAAGAACCATACGCCCCAAGACCATGGATTTCCAAGCGCTCCTCGGGTTTGGGCCGTGACTTCTCCCGAAGCCCAGGGTGCGTGGTTGGGACTGGACGCTTCCCACGCGCCCTCAGTGACCCATCCTGGGGACCTCTTGGGCTGTCTTGCAAGCCCTGGGCGCCAGCACAAGAAGCCCTGACCATTAAAACACATGAGGTTCCGCACGGTTCCAGCATTATCCGCTTGCCAACTTGCCAGCATTTCTCGTCCAGGATGACCCAAGAGCCTTCCCAACTCGCCCCAAGACGGCCTCCAAGGCCCCCAACCAGAGCCCAAAGGGGCTTCCCAAAGGCCCCCCAAAGAAGGGCCCAAGACGCACCAACACCGCGCGATAATTAGGGGTCCCAGCACGGTGCGTTGACAGACCGTGCGGTGACCTTGACATCCCCAACGACCTCACCGCACGGTCTGCCACAGCACGGCTGTGGGCACCCTGGGAGCCCCTATTGCTCGAGACATCCTCGGAGAAAGGCCCAAGTCCCAAAAACGTGCAGCCGCTCACGAGAGGAAAAAGAGCCACCACCACCAGACTCCGTTCTCAGAGGCCACCGGAGGGAGGAGCGTGTCTTTTTTTTCGGCGGCCAGCTTGGGGGGGAAGCGAGGAGCGTCGGGCCTTCTCAGAAGGCTCGGAAGTCCCTCAGCCTTCGGAGAAGTCTGCTGAGCCTCCCTCGAGGACACAGAAGACTTCTCGGAAGGCCGGAGCGCCTCTGAGAACTCCCGCCGACTTCTGAGAAGGCCTTCTCAGATGAATGAAAGACGGCATAAACAGACTTACACTTTTGACAGTTCGCGCGAATTTCTTGGATCTGCGCAGACCTGGCCTTCCCCAGAGAGCGCCAGAGGCGACGCCGGAGGCGCCGCCAAGGGGGGCTCGCAGATCCAAGAAATTCGCGAGGACCGTCAAAGTTTTTATGCTCATGCCGTCTCTTGTTCTTCGACTCCTGCTGCTCACTTCCCCACCTCACCCCCCCTTAACTGGGGCCCTGGCTATACCCGAGCGTCACCGACCAGGCCGCTCAATAATTATTCAAACCTCAGCACGACGACGTCCTCGCGCGCGACCGCTAAGAGGGGATATGTCGACCCTTATCCCAGGCTCCGTGGGCATTTCGAATGGAACAGAAATTTGAGGCTCAACCCTGGGATATACGACGGGGAGCGTTCATCCTCGATAGGGGTGCATGTGCATCCGAATAGCCCCCTTGGGGTGTATCCCAGGATTTCCCTCCCTTTTTGAGCGGCTTCATTTTTCCTCGGAAAATCAGAAAGGATTGGAAGATTCGCCTGCGAACCGCGGGTGCGACGATGCCCCCCGTCGCTCGCCGCCGAGTATTCGCTGGCAAGCCGCTCCGAACTCCGAGTTTCCGCACCAGCCCACCGCACCGCGTGTATAGTGCCCCCCCGAAGAGGAGCGCCCCCCCCCCCCCCCCAGCGGGTGGTGTGGAGGCCTCGCAGATGGGGTCTGAGCACGGTCGGACCTAGGATTACGATGTTCCAATCTGCTTTAGCCTTTAAGACGAAGGATCTGGAGGAAGTCCGTGGCCTTCTCGGAGCGTTCGGGAACGCTCTGAGAGCGTTCTGAAACGCTCTGGAACGGAATTATCCTCGTCTCGTCCGACCTTGATCACCAGAAAGAATCTCGAGCACCAAGAAAGTATCAACACTGGACGGCGTTCACGCATCGGGCCCTGGGAGGCGATGCTCGTTCGGAACCTTGCTAGCGTGTCGGGCAGACACTGCTTCGATCATTTCCGGGGTTCCCGAAATGGTTTGTGGGATCTGGTCCTTAACTATGATGGGAGCAACATGAACCTAAGACATAATAATGACACCCAAGAAACACCCAATCAAAATGTGTGTTAGGGCTATAGGGCTAGTAGTGTAGGGCTATAAGGCTATGGGACTATAGTGTTGTAGGGCTACAAAACTATTGAGCTATTGGGCTATGGGGCTATACGGCTATAGGGCTGTATGGGGTATAGGGCTATTGGGGCTATTAGGGCTATAGGGCTATAGGGCTATAGAGCTATAAGGTCATAGGGCTATACAATTATGAGGCTACAGGGCTATAAAACTGTAAAGCTACCGGGCACCTCCGGGCATCCCCGGGCACCTCCGGGCACCCCCGGGCACCCGGGCCGGCCACCGAAATCGGCGGCCCACCTCACCTAACCATATGAGGCAAGCTCTGATTGGGGACATCCTTCAAGAGCAAGAGACCCTCCGCCGGCCAAACTGAAGAATCTTCGAGATCCGATAAGACAGAAGCAGGGCCTTGGAAGGCCATGTCGACACTTTGCGGGCGAGGCGCGGCCAGCGAAAGCGGCCAAGGATGGGCCCAAGGGGCAAGGATGCGAGTGTAACCTTGGAAAGTCGCTCATCATCACCATGCGGGTTGACAAATTATAGGCGGGGACGAAAGACTGCACTGGCGATGCACCGGCGACGCATCGGCGATGCGTCGGCGCAGAGAAAATCGGGCTCCATATCGAACCGCCCCGCCGATAGATCGGCGCTGCATCGGCGATGCGGCGCGATCCTCCGACCTCATCTACTCCGACCCCATCTGGGAGGCCTAAATAGTGGTGGTCCTCTTTTCGCCGGCGCGTCCCTCCGCGTAGCCCCCCCTGGCTCACCGCACCGCGCGGGGGCCACAGGGGCGGCCCATCCTAGGGCGACGAGACTTATACATATGCACGGCTCCCTGGCCCCGCCGATCCTGAGCTTGGCAGCAGTGTATACGCCAAACCCTCCTGGCTTGGCCAGAAGGGCGTATGCACAGCTGCTGGTTTCAGGGTGGGCCTGGCCAGGAAGCAGCGGATATATGTGTAGATCTCGTTTGCCCGCGTCCCCCAACTGGTGGTGGTGGGCATGGTCTCGCCGCAGGCCGCTGCGGCCGCGCATATGCAGCGGCTGCAGCAGCTGCAGCAGCTGCAGCAACTGCAGCGCTGGCTCGGAGCCACGGCGGCGGGGGAGCCCAAGTGGGTGCACGCGCTCGTGCCCCTGGCAGAGTGTGCTTCCTCTCTTCACCAGCGGGTCCCTCCGAGCCCCCGCGGGCTCGCGCACCGCAGACGGGGGGGCCCCCGTGGGGGGCGCGCGCGCGCTTCGCACGGAGCCCGGGAGCGCCGCTGGCCGCCGGGGCGCAGCGCCAGCGCGCGGACCTGGAGGCGGCGGGAGGGGCAGCTCTCGTGCTCCTCCTCCTCCTCCTCCTCCTCCTCCTCCTCCGTAGCCATGTTGGCTCAAGTCCGTAGCGGCTCGCTCGAGGCTTGACATTTTGGCAGGAGGGGTTCGACGGCCCTCACCGCTCTCGCATCTCCCCAATGCCTGCCCAAGCTGGAGGTGCCGCTTTCACTACGTCTTGCCCTGGGAACGTACCTCCCATTCCCGACACATCGACGGTCTCAGCTGGCCCATGGCAAATGGTGGACGTCCGCCAAAGTTTGTTTCTGGGGCAGCTGCACGCAAGGCCTGGGCCACGCCCTGGCTATGTCGCTGGTGTGTGCACCCTCGGACGGGGGAAAAGTGGTGGAATCGAGGTGACCTCACGGAGTGCTCCAGCTGTCACTGCAATCAGGGTGCCGCATTTGGTGGCCAAAAGCCGCTCCAGGCACCGCCGAGTGCCAAGGCCCCAGCCATGGAGTGGGAGCGACAGCGACAGAAAGGAGCCCTCGCCAATGCTGCCATCGAGAAGGACAAGCAACTCATTGCCAAGGACCTGGAGATCGCCAAGCTCCGCGAGCAGGTCCTGGCTGCGAAGGCCCCCACCTCAGGTCCCCAGCCAGGGGTTCCCGACAAGTTGGACGCGGATCAGAAGAGGCTGGCCGAGATCACCACGATCGTGCGATCCCTGGCCTCACGGAGCCGTCGGTCGTTGCCGTTCGCGAAGGACTTGAAGCTGAGCGTGCTGCAATCAAGTCTCGCATCATCGGGAGCAAGCCGCACTCGGCCCAGATGCACCATTTCACCACGCGCATTGATGAGCTGGCAAAGAGCAGTTTCCAGCAAGAGAAGGCCCTGGCTACCCTGGAGGCTCAGAAGGTCGAGCTGGAGCCCAAGATCGAGAGTGTCCAGAAGTCCATCAAGGGCCTCACCACGGACATTGCCGAACTCGAGCACCAAAGGTTCCAGGTCTCGGTCCAGCTACCGACGCCACTTCCTGAAGCATACACGCTCAAGACCATGGTGCCCGCGCTCGATCTGCCAGTCGACAAATTGGGAAAGCTCTTCGAGTCAGCAGGTGCCGACACGAACTTGCTAAACCAGGCCACGGCGTGCTTCGAGGCACTCCGAGGACTTCAAGCGCGAGCAGAAACCAAAGCAGCTCCAGGCACAGATCAGTGCAGAGAGGAAGCTGAGGCACAGCCATCGCAGCCAGATGACCCTTCTCAGGGCAGCGCGGGGAGTACACCACCACCCCCCGCAGCGCATGGGCCGATGGATACTGATGATATTGAGGATCTGCGAATGTTTTATCACGCCTACACAGGGGATGCGCCCCCTGAAGACGACGATGAGGCGCGAGAGACTTGCAAGCGATATGCTGAAGCCGCAGAGGCCTTGGCTAAGCGACGCAAGGTCGACCAGGGCACCGCATGATATGATCATCACCATGTATTCCACCGTGGTGGTTACATTTTTCATCCACTATGTTTGCTCGACGCAGCGAACGAAAAAGGTATGTCAGGAACGCGATGCACATGATGTTTGTGGCGAACTACATGTGCCCTCTCGGCGCGGCCATCAATGGCTCCGTCTTTTTTCGCTCAGCAGCAGGCACTTCTGCAAGATGCGGACCACGTACGCCACTGGATATTCAGACAATGGGCAGTCTAATATTAGATGCAGGCCAAATGCCAGATCATGTTCCGAGGGTGATCTTGGGCGCCCTGACTGCAGACCCCGTGAGGCCCATAGGGACCCTGGTGTGGTGGATTCTAGTGTCGAGCGGTCGCGGGACCCGACCTCAGATGGTCGCGGGACCTCGGGATCCGGGGACTTGGGGAATAGAAGACAGCTGGGCAGAGAGCCTCATGGGACTCCAGGGCCCCTGAGGCCCCACAGACAGACGAGCACGACCTTCGACGGCACGGCCACCATCGCCACGCCAGCTCCGAGATCTGTCAAGGGCCTCAGGTGCAGGTATTTGCAGCTCGTCATGGTTGCGGCTTGCACCATGAATGTCAGCCCAGCAAGCGCAACGGCTACTACAATGCCGCCAACCTCATATGATGAGCAGCCGCCACCCGGGACTCCAGAACCTTTGAACGACATCTCAGTGAGCTCAATTGTGACAACCAATGTATCCTCTCATGGACCGCTCATCGACATGCTGAAGTTACCATGGGCCCGATCCTGTGTAATCTGCATCCAAGAGCATCATGCCGATCAAGCTCGATTTGTGGATGTGCAGCATCAAGCTGCTCGAGCAGGTTGCTTAAGACTATGGGCTCATGCACCCCAGTCAGTCAAGGGAGGCACGCATGGCGGCATGGTTATTCTAGCACCATCTCGGGTACGAATCCCACCAGCCCTTTGGGCGTGAGTGGTTTAGCGAGCTTTCTCTGTCCTCAACCCCCCAACCCCCCTTCTTCCCCTTCGGGGAGGGGTTTACCCCTCCCCCTCCCCCCTCCCCCTGGGCCTGGAGAGGGAGTCCGGCGGGTGGTCAGGGGGGTCTTTTTCGACGCCTGGGAGGGCCAAAAAACGACGACCTTCACGAGGATTCTGGCCCCGACGGGGGGACGCACATAGAACCCTCTCCTCTTCTGTGAAGCCAGAATCATTGATTTTACTACGGTTTCGGCCCCATTTTGGCCTTCTGAGGGGGCAGCGCTCCCCTTCCTTCTTCTCAAAATCATTGATTTTACGAAGGTTTTGGGCTCATTTTGTCCTTCTCGGGGGGTAGCGCTCATTTGCGCTTCTGCCGAGGTCGCAAGAGGCCCCCAAGAGGCTCCAAGATGCCCCCAGGAGGCTCCCAAGAGGCCTCCAAGAGGCCCCCAAGAGGCCCCAAGAGGCCCCCAAGAGGCTCCCAACAGGCCTCCAAGAGGCCCCCAAGAGGCCCAAGAGCCCCCAAGAGGCCCCGAAGAGGCCCCCAAGAGGCCCCCAAGAGGCCCCCAAGAGGCCCCCAAGAGGCCCCCAAGAGTCCCCACGAGGAGCCCGAACGACTCACACCAGGACGAGGGGCCCGAACGACTCATACCACGAAGAACCCGAACGACTCACGCCAGAAGGAAGACCCCGAACGACTCCTACCAGGACGAGGCGCCCGACCCATTCACACCACGAGGAGCCCGAACGACTCACACCACGACGCGCGCCTCGAACGACTCACACCACGAGGAGCCCGAACGAGTCACACCAGGAGGAGGGGCAGCGCTCATACAAGCCCCCCAAGAGGGCCCCCAGAGGTCCACCATATGGCCCCAAGAGATCCCCAGATGGCCCACAAGAGATCCCCAGGAGGCACCACGACGCCTCCAGGAGGTCCCACAGATACCCCCAAGAGGTCCCCAAGATGCGCCAAGAGGCGCCGAAGACGCCCCAAGAGGCCTCCGAGCAGCTTCCAAAAGACATCTACTACTACCCTTTCCCGTACGATTACTACGACTTGTACTTCTACTACTACTCATAATCGTTGCACTACATACTGGAAATACCACTACTACTACTACTACTACTACTACTACTGCTACTACTACTACCACTACGACTACTACTACTACTACTACTACTACTACTACTTCTTCTTCTACTACTACTACTACTACTACTACTACTACTGTTAGTACCCCGACTACTACTACTACTAGTACTACTACTACAACTACTACTACTACTACTACTACTACTACTACTACTGCTACTGCTACTTCTACTACTACTACGACTACTGCTACTACTGTCACTACTACTACTACTACTACTACTACTACTACTACTACTACTACTACTACTACTACTACTACGACTACTGTCACTACTACCCTTTCCCGTACGATTACTACGACTTGTACTTCTACTACTACTCATACTCGTTGCACTACATACTGGAAATACCACTACTACTACTACTACTACTACTACTACTACTGCTACTACTACTACCACTACGACTACCACTACTACTACTACTACTACTACTACTACTACTACTACTACTACTACTACTACTACTACTACTACTACTACTACTACTACTACTACTACTACTACTACTACCACTACACTACACTACTACTACTACTACTACTACTACTACTACTACTACTACTACTACTACTACTACTACTATTCTCACGACTATTACTACAACTACTACTACTACTACTACTACTGCTACTACTACTACTACTGCTACTACGACTAGTACTAGTACTAGTACTGCTACGACTATTACTACGACTACAACACTAACTACTACACTCCTACTCCCTACCCTACTCCTACACCTACTCCTAACTGCCTACGTTCCTGAACCTGCTCCCTGCTCCTGCTCCTCTCCTGCTCCTGCCTCCTACTCTACTCCTACTCCTACTCTTACTCCTACTTCCTACTCCTACCCCACTCCTACTCTACCGACTCCTAATCCTGACTACTACTACTACTACTACTACTACTACTACTACTACTACTACTACTACTACTACTACTACTACTACTACTTCTACTACTACTACTAATACTAGTACTACTACTACTACTACTACTACTACTACTACTACTACTACTACTACTATACTACTACTACGACTACGACTACGACTACTACTGCTATCATTTACCACTACTACTACTACTACTACTACTACTACTACTACTACTACTACTACTACTACTACTACTACTACTACTACCACTACTACTGCTACTACTGCTACTACCACTACCAGTACTACAACTGATCCTACTGGTACTACTTCTACTACTACGACTAGGAGCCGAAGAGGAGGAAGAGGAGCAGGGAGAGAAGGCGATGGGAGGCAAGACATAAGGCGGTCGTTCCCCAGTCCTACACGTAACCGACTCTGTCGACTCACACGACGGCGACGTCCTGGACCAGAATGCATGTGGTGTGCGTCGTTGGGGCCCCTCGCCCTGGTGTGAGTCGTTCGGGCCCTTCCTTGTGTGAGTCGTTCGGGCCCCTCGCCGAACGACTCACACATCGAGGAGGGGCCCGAACGACTCTGTCCAGGAGGGGGGACCCGAACTACTCGCACCAGGAGGAGGGGCCCGAACGACTCACGCCACGAAGAGTCCGAACGACTCACACCACAAGGAGGAGCCCGAACGACTCATACCATGACGAGGCGCCCGACCCATTCACACCACGAGGAGCCCGAACGACTCACACCACGACGCGGGCCTCGAACGACTCACACCAGGACGAGGCGCCCGACCCATATGGCCCCAAGAGGTCCCCAGATGGCCCACAAGAGGTCCCCAGGAGGCACCACGACGCCTCCATGAGGCCCCAAATATACCCCCAAGAGGCCCCCAAGAGGCCCTCAAGAGGCCCCAAGGCGCCCCCAAGAGGCCCCACGAGGAGCCCGAACGACTCACACCAGGACGAGGGGCCCGAACGACTCACACCACGAAGAGCCCGAACGACTCACACCGCAAGGAGGGGCCCGAACGACTCATACCAGGACGAGGCGCCCGACCGACTCACACCACGAAGAGCCCGAACGACTCACACCGCGACGCGGGTCTCGAACGACTTACAACACGAGGAGCCCGAACGAGTCACACTAGGAGAAGGCAGCGCTCATACTACTACCAGTACTACAACTGATCCTACTGGTACTACTTCTACTACTACGACTAGGAGCCGAAGAGGAGGAAGAGGAGCAGGGAGAGAAGGCGATGGGAGGCAAGACAGAAGGCGGTCGTCCTCGAGTCCTACACGTAACCGACTCTGTCGACTCACACGTCGGCGACGTCCTCGACCAGAATGCAGGTGGTGTGCGTCGTTGGGGCCCCTCGCCCTGGTGTGAGTCGTTCGGGCCCTTCCTAGTGTGAATCGTTCGGGCCCCTCGCCGAACGACTCACACATCGGTGTGAGTCGTTCGGGCCCCTCGCCGAACGACTCACACATCGAGGAGGGGCCCGAACGACTCTGTCCAGGAGGGGGGGCCCGAACTACTCACACCAGGAGGAGAGCACCGAACGAATCCACTGCGCCGTGCTAGCGGCCACACCCACCCATTATTGATGCAGCGGCGTCTCACAAGGTACTCCCAGTACTGGACGAGAGACTATACACCATCTCAGCCCACTGCCGGACA